AGTATTCAGTTACTACAATTTAGTGACTCATTGCCATGAAATCTTACTAAATTCAATCGTAATACTTTGATGGAGGTTAACTTTCGCGTAATAGGTGCTTTATTTCAATTCTTACCCTCAGTTTCGGTATGAAAATTAAATTTCGTTTCGTTTCGTTTAGATTTACCCAATGATCATTTAACTGTATTATTTTCTATGTAAAGTGAACAGTTTTTACAAAGTTCAAACATAATAAAATAAATAATAGATGATAGTATGCGTTCGGTTGGAATAAGATTTTTTCAGTGTACTGTACAATCAATCATGTGAAGAATCCATAGATACAAAATGAGTAATATTCAATTTGTAACCTTGAAAAATAGTATATTATATTATATTAATTACTAATCGAAATACTTAATCTTGTAACTGAAACTACTAATTTTAAACAGTAATCTGAGTAGGTTTTGGTAACAATTTACATTTCTAAGCAATCAGATTACAATAACTACTAACGAAGAAATTTCATGCAAGTAAAAAGTTTATACTAACTAAATACCCAGATTTTAAGGTAGTCAAATTAGTATTTCTAATAACTTTTTCAAGTTCTAAAACTACCAATTACTTAGTTTTTTCCAGAAGTAGTCAGATTGCAAAACAGATTAGCATATCTCGTTACTTTATCGCGTTATTGTCGCATCAATCACTCATCGCCGTGCATTTGCTGAGTGCCACATGCGAACGAGTTTCAAACGAACGTACAAATAAAAACAAACAACAAACCTAAATACAAAACAAAGAAAAAAAAACATACACGAGGTGAAAAAAACTTTAGTGACGTGTGCATCCACTATTTAAAATGTAGACTTTTTGATTTACCCCATCGTAAAAATAGCAACTCGTTCGTAATTGGTTAGAGGAGCAACTGAAGAACCAATGAGCGGCGTTGGTATGGCGACCCTCTGTTTACTGAAATTTTAAATAAATTGAGAAGTAGATGGGTGCGTTTCATCTGCTGGGAATATATTTAGGATTGGT